GGAGTCTGGTTACCCACAAGGCGTTTGGTAAGCACACTGCATATTCAGAACCCTTCAGGTGCAGAAGAATTACAAATCTTTTCCAATATAACTAGCATTAAATGCTGAAGACTCATCCTAAGCAAAGAACATAAACTAGAACAGAGCAACGACTCCAACAAATAACAGCTCATAGAAAGGAAAGAGTTGTTAAGAAAGTGCACTAAGTCTTTTATTTAAATAAGATTAGCTCTGCCAAAGCAATGCCTAAAGTTGGGGGAAAATTATGTAAAACATCTCAATAATTATTTATACTAAGGACATCCAGATATTATAACATTTGGATCTATCAGATTAAACTGTATTAAAATCAATTTTACCCGTTTCTCTTTTCTTATTTAATGGGGCTTCTATAAAATTTAGAATTCCATCTGTACCTCGAGTTAAGTTTGTATTGGAGAGTGCCACAATGAAAACGAGCCAACTATGGAGAGCAGAATATGTGAATATGAACAACTGTGTGAACAGGGAGTATGAACGCCAGAGTATGTGCTATTATAAAGTTCCAAAGCAGGAAAAGGAAAAGGTAAAAAACCCCGCATTGCTTCACGAGGTTAAACAGAACGGAATGGTGAGCAGGAAAGAGGTAAATTGTACTCAAGTGAATGAATACTGCTGTCTGGAGAATGTTTGCATAACAAGAACTACAAGGAACAATACTCTTGTTATTTAACCAAAACACAAACTAGAGTGAATAAAGATCTAAAGGTCCTTACACTTCATCTATTTTTAAACAACATAGATAGCCTTGTGAAAACAAGGCCTCAAAAAATTAGGTTAAGACTCAGAATTGTTCCTCTCCACGGAAATCTTTAGTAAAAGGCGAAAGATTTGTACGATCTGAAGAGAAACCAGAGTATAACAATTGCTTCCCCGAACTCATTTTTCAGGAAACTGCAACTCCTACTGCACTGATGGTGGCTAATTATCCCAAGAGTTACTGCCTGCAGAAATTTAGCCAAGGAATACTGAACATAATATCTTCAAACCTAGGAAACTCGAGAAAGAAAAAATTTTTTTTTTCCTGAAAACAATCGTACTGTCTGCAGCATGTCATCAGTATGCAGATGAGATCTGAATAATCACCCTTTAAACTCCGGAAATGATTTAGTATTCAAATTTTGCTCTGAGGCCCCAGTTAAGGGTCAAAGTGGAGGCTTGGCTGCCTGTGATCTAAACCCCATCCTAGTCAACTAGAGAGAACTTCTGCTTTTATCTGTTCATACATTGGGACTTTGAGTAAGATTTCTTTTAAGTAAAGACATTTTGTGATAACTGGGGCCAGGACAGGCCATGAGGATAGCAAAGAAATGGTGAGCACAAAATTTGGGATAGTGGTTACCCACAGTGGGGAATGAGGGCTGTGATTGGGGAAAGGCCCACGGAGGGGGTTCAAAGGTATTGGCAATATGTTTTTTCTTAAACTGGGAGGGAGGCATCAAGGTTTCATTTTATTACTTTTTTATTATATTCATGTATATCATATGCATGAACATTGCAATCTTCCCCTTCGTTGGGTCTACTTTTATGTCTTTCAATATACTTTTATAATTTGACCATAAGAATTTTTTTTAGATTTACTTTACGCTTATTATCTTATAGTTTTTGTGGCCACTGTAGATTTTTTAAAATTATAATTTATAGTTGCTTATTGCTGGTATACAGTAATGCAGTTGAGCTTTATTTATTGCTCTTGCATTCAGCAATTTTAAACTCTAGTTCTCATAGATTGTCTGTAGATTCTGTTGGATGTTATATGTAAAAAATATATCATCTGAAAGTGATGTGGACGAAAAGGGACCGTTTACTAAACTGGACAAACTTAGGGGAGGCCAGCATGGTGGACCTACAAACTCAAATACTAAAATTAATCACATAGGATGTTCTGATGTAAAATATTCCTCATTAAAGTAGGTCATGGTGGATAGTCACCTCCTGGGCCTGTAGCTTTCTTGACAAAGGTCAATCTTTACCTTAAGTGAGACTGTCTATTGTCTTTTTGCATCTAAGATAACATACTCTTGGAATGTCAGAGTAATCCCTTTTTTTCCAGACCCCTCAGGGCACAACCCACTGCACCAGAGAATGAGACCACAGAACCCCTTATTATCTTGTCCCCCCATACCATATCTATGTGCTGTAAATGTTAATTGTTAACTCCCCTGTACCCACCAGTGTAAAAGAAGTATGTGTCCCTTCTTTTCACTTTTTATCCAATCCCAGAAATTTCCCTGATTTCCTTTCCCCTGCCCACTTAATCTACCAACAATGGATATCATGTAACCCTCCTTATGTTTCCTCCATTGATTCTAATATAAAAAATAGGCTGCAAAACTGCCATTCTCTGGAGCATTTCTCGATCTGTTGAGATTTTGCTTCCTGGCTATTGTTGTCAGTTTGGCGCAAATAAACTCATTAAAATTTTCTATAGGTTTGGATGTTTCTTACATCAACAGTGATAACTTCATTTTTTCCTTACAAGTCCTATACTTTCTATTATTTCTTTTTCTTGTTTTACATATCTCATCGGGCACTCTGATACAGACATTGAACTGAAGTGATTACAGTATCTTATTCTGATCATAGCTTTTAGTGGACCGCCGTTAAGTGTGAAGTTTGCTGTAGACAGGTGGAGACTTCATGGGCAAGCAGTCTGTGCAGTTACATTGGGTCCTTCACTTCAGCTGCCGCCTTCATGAAATTCTTAATAATTTTTGAATAAAGGCCCTGCATCTTCATTTTGCCCTGGGCTTTAAATGATTTCTGGTAGAAACTCTTTTGATTAAGCTAATTCCAGTCTATTCTTAGTTTGCTTTGATTTTTTTTTAAATAGTATATGTAGATCTTAAGACAATCATCAATTTTCCCTTTTTACCTATTAACGTTGTTAAAAAACAAAACAGAGTAAATTGGAAGATCTAATTAATTAAGCAATTCATGAATTGGGCAGCATCCCATCTAGCAACTAGAAGGACACTCGAGGGGTTGTACAAAATATAAGGTTTGTATAGGTAGAAGGAGAGTGGGACTAAGAAGTTAAAGTTATTTGAGGCAAAGACAACTTCCCTTAGGAGAGGACAGGGAGTTTTATCAGGCAGATTGCTTCACTCATGTGGATCAGGAAATTTCAAACTGATAGGTTTAAAATTCCACTCCTTGGAAAGGCTGAAACTGCCGTTAGTTTAGGTATTAAATCCAGTTTTGGTATCCTGGGCTTTTAGCACAAATGATGTCATTATGGGCCTGTGATTTTCTCTTTAAAATCTGTGAATATAATTGTGAAAAATTATATTCACAGATTTTCTATGATATATCATTCCTATATTCATAGCCTAAACTCGATTTGGCAATAATGTATTTAAAATAGATTTTTAAAAGAAGTTTTAAATTTACAGAAAAATTGTGCAGATAGTGCAGAGTTCCCATATATCCCACACCCAGGTGCCGCTATCATTAACATGTTATTAGTATGCTTCAAAGAAGCAACTTTCATGTATTCATCCAACAATTCTTGAGGCCAAGAACCAGGCTTTTGTCTAAGTGCCCACAGTGAGGAAGAGGTGGAATGAGTGATGATTCCCAGGTTTCCTGACAACTGCTGCAGGCTCTGCCTTTCTGGGCCTGAGCTTCTGCAGCCATGTTAGAGTTTCTGGATCCCATGATGCGCATAGGACTTCGGGGAAACTAGGGGCCTTGTCTGAGGCTATAAGGTGGTCAGACACTTTTTAGTGCTTCTGGACCAGTCTGGGTCTCAGAGCATCCAGAGGTCTGACACTGGCTTCTGGGAGCAGCCAGCACTCACTGCCTGGCCTTGGAAGTCTTGTAGTGTCTGGGGGTCCAGTCTTGCTCTTCCTCCCAAAGTCTTACATACAATCCAATGGCATGGACCACTTCTCCTCTGAGCCCGGGGTCCAGTTCAGCCTGGATTTGGAAGGAGGGAAAGTTCCTCTCTCAGAGGATGCTGGGTTGTGGGGCTGTAGGCAGCGTTTTAAGGGGCTTCTTGGTCTAGGAATTAGCAATGGCCTGTGCTTAGATTTCCACATGACCACGAGGCTCAACTGTAGGGTTTTCTCTAATGAGATCGTGAGCTGGAAGAAAGGATGGGAGCCTAGTCCTTCCTTCCACAGTTAGGTCAATGTCCTCTCTGCCCATCCCCATTACTTGCCTCTCCAGGCTCCCTTTCACAGAGGGCCCCAAAGGAAGATCTTGGCAGGCCTAGTCTGAGAGGCCAGAGACTTAAGCGATGCAGAGAATTCTGGAGGCTGAAAAGCAGAGGAACGGTCTTTTAGTTTTCAGATCAGAGTGTAAATCTCAGATTCAGTGGGTCTGGCTGTGGGACCTCGGGCGAGCACTGCAGCCCTCTGAGACTCAGTTTCCCTGGGTGTTAAATGGCTCCTGCGCTGCCAGTTTCGAGGGAAACAATTCAAGAGGGATGCAAAGGTAGTATCGATTCCCTAGGCAAGACAAGCAGTCTCAACTGGCGCAGCTGGGACATAGGCAAGTCCAAGGGCAGGTCAGAGCGGCGCCTGGGTCAGTTTCTAACTCCGTTCTTCTGTGAGACTGGCACGCAGGGGCGAAGGCGACTCCGCCCCGCCAGCCCGCCAGCCCGCCAGCCCGCACACCTAGCAGCTGCAGACCATTCGCGTTCTGATAGGTGGGCACAACCTGCACTCGAATAGGGTCGGGCGCGGGAAGGGGCGAGCCCTCGATTTGGCTGGGAGGAGCGCGGAGCAACGTGAGGAGCGCGGCGCCGGGAGGGGAGGTAGGCTGGGGCGCGCGACCTTCTCTGGCAGGCAGGACACGGAGAGCGGACGTGCACGGCTGGCGAAACGCAGGCGGCGCGGAGGACAGCCGGCGGAGCGCCGGGGCTTCGG